AACCTTTTGTTTATTTAAAGAATATAACTGAAATGATTAAAAAATATATAAGCTTATAGGAAGGAATCCTGGCAAAGGGGGGGGAGGGAGGAAATCTTTTAGTGCTTAAGGAGCCTCCATTTCATACTTTAATTTAATGGCACTGCTCTGCACTGTTCCTTTTCGAGACAGCTCATCTGCCTCACTGCAGTTGTCCTTAAGACTGGGAAGAGAGCCTCCACTTCCAGGTTGTTTCTAATTATATCATCACGCTCTAGCTAGGCAGCTTTAACTTTCTCATCTGAGTTTGCAAGTCTTGAAAAATTCACTAATATGCCAGTTTAGTATAATTCTTGCTTGGTCTCTGTGACAAGTAGGAAAAAAGGGTTATCTTCTTCTACTGCATGATCGAGTCTATGGAATATAATATTTAATGTGAGCATCCATAATCTATCTGATTTCAGAACAGAGCTATCAACATTAATAAAATATCCTGCTAAAGAAACAACAACTTTAACAAACAAACAAAAAAAGCTACATGGTTCATTCATCAGGCCCAGGACCAAGGTGAATGAGCCAAGAGCATTGTGTACCTATGCAAAGATCAATGGAGATAGGCATTTATCTTACAAGTTGAGAGCAAAAATATGGAATTCTGTAGCCTTTTTAGGGACACTGTCTAAGAGTTTATTGTTGGTTACAAACTGGTGAAAATTTGCAATAAATAAAAGAGCTAAGGTTACATTGGATTGTCACAGAGTCCTTTGTTACACTTTCATTATCAGCAATTAAAGACAACCAAGAAGTAGCAACAAGAGGAAAACTTTGCCATGCCAATGATTCCAAAGATGTGAGAGAATATTTCTCCTGTTAAACCTTCTAAAGTTCTAGAAGAGCAGTTCCAATGCTAGGAAGGTATGTGTAATGAGTAGAAAAACCTGACTTTGAGTTACATCTCTTCCTTCCTTCCTTCCTTCCTTCCTTCCTTCCTTCCTTCCTTCCTTCCCATTTACAAACAAGAGTTTCAGTTACATTGGTTCAACTAACTGATCCACGAAGTTTTATAATGTTCCAGACTTTCCTGTTAGTAGAGCACTGCTAGTTAGCCTTGATTATTGTGTAGATTAACCGCTGACTACGACAGTTTCCTCACCCATTCCATTTTGCTCCTTTAAATGTCACGGTGAATTATTTCTCAGCAACAACCCCCTTCTTTAACCCTCCCAAATCAATTAAAATACAGCGCAGAGATTAATTTGCAAGAACTGGGGGGAGGAATAGAAATCGGTAAGGCTTTTCATATTCCCCCAAGATGCTCATTTTGAATATCTTGACGCTGGAGGCGATTTTGAAATGTGCAGAAATATATTTTGTCTATAGTCCCGGTGGGAGGGTGTAGCCTTTGAGAGAGGCTGCTCTTTGCCTTTTCCCGCGGCTGCCTAGAGCAACTGGTTCAGGAGGAGCGGGAAAGGCCCCGGCAAGAAGAAACGCGCGCCTTCACAGCGGCCATTTACTTAGGAAACGGCGCGATTTGGGCTTTTATAAACATCCGTACTTAACCTTTCCATCCAGCCGTCTGCCGCCCGATCCCTTGCCTATTTACTCAGTCAGAACAGTCAATCCCCGCGGGTCCAATCTCATTATCCTTCCACGTCTGTTTTTTTCTGCCGGCTAAACTTTCTCCAAGTTTCTCGTTCTTCGCAGACAGACCCCTTTTTCCGCTGCCATGCGCTACCCACTCGGTCTCGAATACTTCTGCACAAGAACCGGCGAGCATCCCGAACGGATCATCCGCACGATCCGTTCATTCTCTCGACAGCAGACCAGATCGTGCCGGCGTCTGGCAGAGGCAGAAGGACAAGGCTGGGAAGCGCAGGGAGCGGACCGAGGCCAAGTGGCCACTAAGAAGCAGCGGGTACGTTTTAAAAGGGGGGGGGAGCAGAAAAACGGACTCCTAGAAGACACGTGTGCATGCATTCGTGGTTACGCTCGAGATGGAGCAGGCGCCTTCAGAGAATGAACACGACTTCCCCTTCCCAAAACTTCTGAAACGCAGGGAACCAATCTGGTTCCGATCTTGAGCGAAATACAAAAACTATCTCCTGCCCGGAGTGGCTTCCTCTCCGCCCTGGAGAAAGAAAAACTGCAGAGTCGAGCCGCACAAGAGAAACCGCGGTCAATTTCTGATCACTTTCAAGAGGCTTCCAAAGGCTTCCCAAATGCCCACCTTGGCTCAGGATTAAGCTTTCTCCCAGGACTACAGTCTCCGAGCTGTTGCCATTTTCTTCCTCCCTTTCACTTCACTTGAAATAGCATTTCTGTTTCAAGGAAACGCGTGGAATTTGGCAGTTCGAGTCTCACCGGCTCAAGGTTGACTCGGCCTTCCATCCTCCGAGGTCGGTAAAATGAGGACCCAGATTGCTGGGGGCAATAGGCTGACTCTGTAAACCGCTTAGAGAGGGCTGTAAAGTACTGTGAAGCAGTACATAAATCTAAGTGCTTTTGCTATCTATCCAAACTGTTCCCAGAGGTCAGTGGGTGGATAGGACCACAGATGGGTCTGGAAATAGCCTATCCTCAAGGAAGAAACATGGGGTTTCTTAGTATCTTCACAAGACTACCAAAGTCTTCTCCCTCTGACCAACACCAAAATGACACCTTCCCTGCCCGCCTTCCACTTCTACAGCCCATCAAAAGAACATATTTTAAAATTAATATTAAACTACAAATTTTAAATAGTGAGAATCTACTGTGCTCCCACACATTCCAAATAATGAAGAAGGAAGGAAGGAAGGAAGAATTCTGAAGAGTTTAGTCCAAATTTGCCAGTCTTGTGTTGACTTCAACAGCTAACATAATCAGACATCAAATGGAAGAATGTCATATGAAACTTTTTTAAAAAAACTGGGGAGGACAAATTACTTCTCTCTTCAGTAAACTCTACCTGCGCAAAACGGGCAGTGTGGTCTACATACATTAAAAATTAAGTAAGGTAATAGAAACAGATCATATTTTCACTTAATTTTCTTCTTTTTCTTTTCTCAGTTACCATCGTTAATGTTACATATTTTTCTTTGGTTCTGAAAGTTCAGTTTTCAAAAGGACAGGCAATCAGAAAAGTAACATTCCTGTTTAACCTACTTAGGTGCAGATAAACTATATCTGCAAAGGTTTTGCTTCCTCTTCTTCTAGCTAATAAGTTGCTTACAATACATTTCTCAGCATTAAGAGAATGAATGGAAAACAATGGAATGAAAGTGGAATGAGCTACTAAACGTCCAACAAAACATGGAATGAGTTAATAATGTACAACAGCTAATTATAAGTAAAAGATGAGATTTTTGTCATTTCAAAAGTTTTCTTTAAAGATATACGTCTACATAAACCCCTTTTGAAATGACAGATTCTGGAATAAAGTTTGAAAATTAAGTAAATGTAAGGCAGTCACATTCTATTAAGAATATTAGGGGATTTCCCTGGATTGTTACAGTAAACTGTTGGGAGCTGTCCAGGTTCTGAAAGTCGGAAAGCTTATGTTGGAAAGTCGGAGGGGAAAAGAAAAAAAAAAAAATCAAATGTATGCTTATGTAAGAGTGTGTGAAAATATCCCGATCCAGGATCACAAGAACATCGCAAGAACAAGAGAGATAAAGAAGAAAACAAAAGGAGAGGATGATTTTTCAAAGTTCTCTTAAAACAAAAGATTATTCTATTTTTTTTTCAGGCTTTGAGAAATATCTCCTAAGAAAATTAGTAAGTTTTCCTTACTAACTGCAAACTGAAAGAAAATAAATTATCTATACTATAGATCTAATTTAATTGATAGTGGGGAATAGCAGAAATACTGTTACACTTTATAGAAATTGTATATATAAAGGGGAAAAAAACCAAATATCCACAATAAAACATAACAGATTTCATTAACTGGGATTATGACAGAGAAAATCATAAAAAAAAAAATCTTACCTGGATTTATTGTTAAAGATCTGAAACAATTATCCACCCCCCACTCCAAAGAGCTTTTCTTCAAATCCTAGTGCAGAGTAGAGACAGGATGCTGGCAGAATTGCTTTGTGTCCTTTTTATACCATGTTACCCAATTAATATTGCATCAACCTTATTTTAAAATTTCAGAACCCACAATATAATGTAATGACACAGGGGCATTTATTATTAAAGGATATTTGATTGGGGAGAATCAATGGGGCTCTTTGAGAAAATAAAGTGAAACAAGAACATTTGAGGAAGATTAGGGCTTAAGAGCTTCATGAACAAAATATAATTACTTGATAAAGCCAGTTTTAAAAAAAGCTAGATAGAATTGAGTTGGAATTTTATTGCCTGCTTTTTGCTAAATGCAAAGGCGAGGTATTAGATCACTGGGCCCTGATCATTAATTTTTAATTGTTTAAGGTGCTTCTGGGATTCATAAGCAAAAGCTCCTTTTTGCTTTTAAACAGAATTCCAAATGAGCCTTTGAATGCTTTATTTTTTCTTCCTTCAATGAACTATCACAAAACAAAGTTCCATTGTTATAAAGATGAGAATTACTGCAGAACAATCAAGAGCAACACAATTTGCATGGCTATTTTTCTGAAATAGTATATTTTAACCATAAGGGGCTAAATATCCCTTTTAACCCCTTATTTTAAAATCCAACATTTTTAAAAACTACATTTCTAGTTGTGGATCTTAGTATTATTTCCATAACGGTTGATAAAACTGATTTGCTGGCCTGAAAATAAATAAAACATACACAGGTTAAATCTGGTTCGAAACTAATCACAACACACACAATATTCTGAGAAAGTGTAAACCGTCTAAATGAATGATTTCACTGCTAAATTGAGCAGACTTATTAATTCAATACTGATTGCTTAATTTTCAGTCTCAAAAACACCTCCAACAAAAACAGAGAAATTGTTATGAAAAACCTGGGGTGGGAATGAAGAAAATAAAATCAATTCTGGTCAAAAAATAAAGCATTTTATTTCAGAAGTTTCAGCATTATTTCTGGGAAAAGAGGGAAGGGTGAATGAAGTCGATAAAGAAGTGCACAAAATGCCCAAATTACAGTCTTGGAGTATAAAATTTCAGGAGACATTTGACGAAAAAAGAAGCCCTTAGTGCAGAAAAAAGCTTTTAATTTCTTTTTTTTTTTTAGGGGTGGAAGAAGGACAATAGGTATTTATTTTAAAAGAATCCTCTCCAGGCAAACACGAGTGCAACCATGCAATTCCATAGTCCTGTTGGAATGTTTGGTGATCCGGTTAAAAAACAGAAGCTAATCTGCAAAGTCCATGGAAAGAGGCAAGGTTTTAAGAAGAGAAGGTTTACTAAAGTCACACTTCCGTAATCTCCTCAGTTGTGTAGATTGTCCTGTGCACATGCAGCCTTGACTTTTAAAAAAAAAAATAAAAAAGCCATAGGGGTGCTTCCTTTCAATTGGACTGAATTTAATAAATAAGAATAAAGATCGCATTTACCTCAGAGAAGTCAATGGCAACAAGCCTGCTTATGAGCTGAGGGGTATTTTAAAAAACACTGACATGAAAATAAACTGTTAACCTGTGAAAGTGCTTAGAGTACGCGTGTCATCCTTTTGGTTATTCTAACAAAATGTTTTGATTCAGGGCAGGTTTATTTCAAATATCCTTTGTTCCCTTCACCTTCCTTTCAAGAAAACAAGTAAGTTTAACTGGAACTCTTCCCCTCTGTGTTAATAAGAATGATCAGACACACGGTCCAGTTATTAGTTGCACCAAAAAGAAAGCTCTTTTTTTTCCTTTTAAGAAAGCGTTTAAGCATTTCTGTTGATCTCACACAGCATGCAGTTGACTAAACAAGTAAAAGGTGATGAATCAATGCAAATTAATCTAAGCTTGAATTTACAATTTTTGTAAAATAGTCTTCTGCCCCCCCCCATATAATCTCAATAAATAAATCTTCATTATTTTATAGGCACCTTCCCTCCCCCCTCCCCACAGTATAAATGTAATTAAGTTCATCTCCAAACGGTATCTACGGTTATATCTCTTTTTTGCCTTAAAAAAAATAGTACCTCTCCAATGTCAACTCTTCCTGCAAAAGCGACAAACGTCAAGACACTCCAGTGCACAAAAACACAAGTCAGGAGAATGTCAACCCAGAAGAACAAATGGGTTGACAAAGGAAAGGGTATAGGGAATGGACGTTTTCTTCTCTTTCCCTTGTTTGGGCCAGTTGGTTTTGCAGAGAAGCGTAACAGAAGGCTGGGCAAAACTTGATCCAGCGGCGGATGGCCAGCCGAAGGAAAGGGGGAGAGGTATTTCATCTCAGTGGCTCGGTTACTTGGTCTGGCGATCCCCACAGAGTTCTCTGTTAATAGTTTGTCGGGTTTTGTTTTGATCTTTTGGGTAGAGCAATGTTTGTCTACTGTGTGTGTGCATGTGTAGTGTGTGCTAGGTATAGGTCTCGTGGTCCGACAGAGTGGGCAGCCGGCCGGGCAGGTGCCTCAATGCACCGCGGAGTACTTCATGCGCTTTTGTTTCTGTCTCTGGTTGCAGAACCAGACTCTCACCACGTTTTTTTTCAAGTCCAGCTTCTCGGCGATGGCGGCGATCTTCTCGGACGAGGGTCGCGGCTGGATGGCGAAATAGGCTTCCAGCGAGCGCTTCTCCGGCGCCGCGATAGAGGTCCTCTTGCGCTTTCGCTCGGCGCAGTTAAAGAGCTCGGGCTTGGCGTTCTTCTCGCGGTGGGCGGCTTCCGCCTCTTCCAGCCACGCTTGCAGGACCGGCTTGAGGGCAATCATGTTGTTGTGCGACAGAGTGAGCGACTCGAACCTGCAGATGGTGCTCTGGCTCAGCGAGCCCACGCCCGGGATCTTGAGGTTGGCCAGCGCCGCGCCCACGTCGGCCTGGGTGACGCCGAGCTTGATCCGCCTCTGTTTGAAGCGCTCGGCGAACGCCTCCAGCTCCCGGGGATCCGACTCAACGTCGCTGATGCAGGCCAGCCCGCTGTGAGATACTGAGACCTGCGAGGCTGCGGAAGGAGGAGGAGGAGGAGGAGGCGGCGGCGGGTGGCTCATGCTAGCCATGGCTTGATGCAGGTGGCCCATGGCCGCCCCCAAGTGGGGGTGGGCATGGGCATGGGGGTGGATTGGTGCGGCCATAACCGCGCCGTGCTCGGGCCCTCCAAGCAGCGCGGGCGAGAGGTGATCCAGGAGGTCCCCGTCCAGGCCTTGGTGCGCCACAGCATGGTGATGGTGGTGGTGGTGATGGTGAACTGGGGCCGAGATGGGCACGGTGGGCGACGAAGTAGAGGTGCAGGGGACGCTGCTCATGGTATGGTAAGTGGTGTCTGGCTTGAAAGGGTGGCTCTTGCCGTGGGAGACCAGATCCACAGCCGCCAAGGCTTCAGCCCGGGCCAGCAGACTCTCATCAAAGCTTCCAAATATATTGCCCTGGAGCTGCAAGCAAGAACGCGCAGAGCGAAGTCAATGGGGAATACTGTCAAGTCTGGGTTCAAAAACATCTCTCTCGCCCCTCTCCCCACTCCCTCTCTCTCAAAAGCAGAGAGATTCCTCCTCAAAGCTCAGGTCATAAAAATTAATATGAAGGCAGAAGATGCTTTGCTTGAATAGACATGTGGATCTGGGGGGCGACGGGGGTGGGTGGGTAGAGAGAGAGAGAGAGAGAGAGGGAGACGCGATTGTTCTGGTGACATGAAAAAAACATTAAGCCGGGGCCTGTCAAAAATGTGCCTTAAAGCAGTAATTATGCTTCATCTACATACCTGCGGGGCTGGGAGGCACACGCGGCGCATCGCCTCCGAGCTAGAGTACTTGGCTTCCTGCAGGGCCGGGTGCATGCCGAACGGCTGCTTGGCGTTCATGCCCATCATCTTGGCGCACCTTGCAGGTAGACAGCCCCTGACATCGAGTCAGGGTTGGCTCTCTGGCTGGCGACTGTCAAAGTGAGCTATTTTCAATGACACAGCTTCTCTCTTCTTCTCCCCCCCCCCTTCCCCGCGCCTCTCCCTCTCCCTCTCTCTCTCCCGCCCGCCCGCTTCCATCCCGGCTTCTTCACTCATCTTACACAAGCCGCCTGCTCGTGATGGGACCGGCACCCCCTGTGCGCAGGCGTGCTCGGGCTGGCACGAGGGAAGAAGGCTAAGGGGAGCCCCAAAGGTTTCACCCAGGCGGGAGACCGGCCTCCCGCTTTCTCTGCCTCAGTCAAACTCCCGGAGGGAAAACAAAAACAAAACCACACGCTAATGTCTCTGACGGAAAAAGTTTCGCCTCGAAGGAATTAAGCCGGTGCTGGACTCAATTAACTCCCGCTTCCGATTCCAAACCTTCCGCGCCCTCTTCCCGTCAGCCCCGCGCTTGGCGTAATTCAACGAAAAGCCAACCCCCCCCCCGCCACCACGACCCGACGAGCTCTTCCTTCTTGGTTTTTGGTCCCGAGGACTTGAGAAAGAAGGCTCGCCTCTCCAGGCGCAGATGGTGGGGGTGGAAATCAAAGACCCGGGCCCGAAGTGAGAGCTGCAGCCGCGCGCGCTTTCTGGTGCGGCTGCGCTCTAGAGCCCAAGGAGTTTAGGAGTGTGGGGAGCTGCTCTCAGCCCTGGAGTTTGTTGACAACCGACGTCCGCACCTTCTTAATATCTATCTACTCTCGGGGCTGCATTTTGACCAAGTGATCAAAACTCTTCCCCTTTGGCTTCCCCCACCTCTCAGTTCACCCAGTCCTTCGTTGCCCACGGCCCTGGCGCTCCTGTGAGATCGCGGGGAGGGGGGGGCAAATATAATATAGTTCTATTCAGTGGTCAAGTAATTTAACAACCGGTTCTCTGCCCTAATGATTTCTTCCAACAACCAGTTTGCCAAACTGCTCAGAAAGTTAATAACCAGTTCTCCCGAAGTGGTGCAAACTGGCTGAATCCCACCACTGATTCTAATCTAATCTGAAACTCTCGGGGCTTTGATTTCCGTTCTTCTTCTCCATATATTAAACGAGCGTTGAAGGTTAATAGTGTCCGGTGAGGTATATATAATTGCCTATTTGTATACTTAATGTCTATCATTAAGGGTTGTGCCTTATGATACTTGACGAAGGTATCTTGTCTTTTTAGAGCAGATGCACCAAAGACAAATTCCTTGTGTGTCCAAATCACACTTGGCCAATAAAGAATTCTATTATATTCTTCTATATTGTATAAATATCTGGAGATTTTGCAGTCTTTCACGAGAGAAAAGTGCAGTGCAGGAGATCCTCCCGTCCAGCCTAGCATTTTGGCTGTTCAAAATCTATATGTTCTTCACTGCATAATAGACTTGCACAGCAGAAATGCAGGTACATCCTCAAGTCCAGCCTGATGGGAGTGAGGCTGTGAGGGGCAAATTCCATCCGTGTCCATTAGGACTGCAGGGAAGGAGGACGGTCCCGGAAGGTATGTTCCATTTATTGGGGACACCCTCTGCAGACAGACAAGTCTTCATAAGATTTTCCCATATTGTGAACAGGACAAGTCAAAAGTGAGGTAATTCTGCAAATGACTGCAAATCAAGGAAAGCTTGGACCTTGAGGTCCAAATGAGCCAGGGCTATCCCACTGATAGACTGAAGGAAAGATTAAGTTCCATAACGGCCTGAACTGACTGCAACTATTATTTTTCCAGATTTTATGCCTTTATGATTTTCTCTTTATTTCTTAAAGTTGATCTGTTGGATAAAGGGAGTTCTCTGATTTTCCTTTCCCCCCAACCAATTAAGCTGCGCCCATATACTTTTGTGCTTCATCTTTCTCTTTTAGAAGCCAGCAAAAGCAACCAGAGAGGCCCTCTTCCTGATGGAGATATCAGCCAGACAAAGCTGCCAGTCACATCAGCTGGTCCCAGAACTCTCAGACCAGAGGAACTGCAAACACCAATTTTAGTATAGGAATAGGAGAGCAGACTCTCCCTGTCTGAGATGAAATTGGTCTGTGATATTGATGAAATAATGCCTGATGGTTCAACTTTCCATTGAAGGACTTAAATTCAGCACTTAAAGATCTCAAAGTCCAAACTGGTTATGGCAGATAACCAGGAAGAAAGCAAAGAAGTAAAGTGACAGTGACCCTTGATTTATAATCATTGGTGATCACTCAAAATTACAACAGCACTGGAAAAAATAACTTAGGACTGTTCTTCACGCTTACAACCATTGCAGCATTTCCATGGTCACATGATCCGTGTTCAGGCATTTGGCAACTGGCATGTATTTATTCATCCTTGAACATTTTACATGCTTGTTACTGAAATGGGAATTCTACATGTCTTTGACAGTCAAAACGTTTAAATATTTCAGCTTGCACTTAAATAGTAACTCTCAAGTTATACAAAATTGTGTAATTTTATGCTGCCCTAAGGATCCTGTGCTGTGTAAACTGGAAATCCTGTGCTGTGTAAACAGGATGGAAATGTCTACTTGTAAATCAACCACTAATAAATGTTGTTGCAATTCCAACCGGGCTTTGTCAGATTGTGACAAATACTGGTTTGGGACAATACATGATACATAAACACTTCTATTGGGGCAAGTAACAGTGATCTAAGAATAGCAAACTCTGAAATTCAGAGGCATATTAATTGAATATTAGATAAAAGGTTATTTTTCTGTCTTTTTATTGGGACATTTTCAGAGATTACAGTGTACAGCTACTTCTGTCTCCCCTTCTTCTGGGAGAGGGAAAATATAGGCAATTTTTACAGCTACAAATAAGGAATAAAACAATGATTCATGTTGTTTATTCTTCTGTTTTTCACTACAGCGCTGTCACACTTTCATGGAGGATGGATTTTGAATTTTAGGGAAGGGTTGTTGTTGAGTTGCTAAGTCTCTTTGCAACCCTGTGGACCATAGCACACCAGGCCAACCTGTCCTCCACTGTCTCCCAGAGTTCGCCCAAATTCATGTTCATTGCGCTGATGACACTATCTAACCATCTCATCCTCTGCCATCCCCTTCCCCTTTTGCCTTCAACCTTTCCCAACATCAGGGTCTTTTCCAATGAGTCCTCTTCTCATGTGGTGACCAAAGTATTTGAGCTTCAGCTTCAGTGTCTGTCATTCCAAAGAACAGTCAGGGTTGATTTCCTTAGGGAGAGGTATAGAAACTATAAAACGCTTTTAAATGTTATTTATTGCCTCATTTTAGTAATTCCTTTAATAGGTTTTTTAAAAAGATTGAGAAAACTTATGGAGCAGAATTGGAAACTTTCCTTTCAGCATCTGGGGCTATGGAATCGCCTAGTATTAATTAATTTAATTAATTCAATTTATATGCCACCCCTCTCCGAAGACTCAGGGCGGCTCATAATACATTTTTAAAAATCATTATAAAAAGCATTTAAAAATTAAAAACATGAAAAACATGAAAAACTCATTCACGCCATTCATGGCCGGATCTTGCCAGATCACAAGAGCGAGATCAACGGCCCCAGGCCTGCCAGAAAAGCCAGGTCTTCACCGCTTTTCGGAAGGCCAATAGGGTGGGGATGGTCCGGACCTCAGGAGGTAACTGGTTCCAGAGAGCTGGGGCAGCCACAGAGAAAGCCCTCCCCTGCGGGCCCGCCAGCCGGCATTGTTTAGCTGACGGGACCCAGAGGAGACCAACTCTGTGGGATCTTACCAGTCTCTGGGAGCTATGCGGCAGAAGGCGGTCTTGAAGATAACCTGGCCCTAAGCCATATAGGGCTTTAAAGGTAATAACCAACACCTTGAATTGTGACTGGAGACCAATAGGAAGCCAGTGCAGCTCACGGAAAATTGGTGTAATGTGGGTGTACCTAGGTGCACCCACGACAGCTCACACGGCTGTGTTCTGGACCAACTGTAGTTTGGTACTTTTCAAGGGTAGCCCCATGTAGAGCGTGTTACAATAATCTAACCATGAGGTGACAAGGGTAATCAGGAGTGAGACAATAGCAGAGCAAGACCTTTTCATAGAGGTAGGATGCAATATTGCTTTTGTGGCCTTGATGTGATTGTCAAAGTCAGGGGTGTCAAACTCGTGGGGTTGCTGGCCAGATGCATCACGCGCTGGCCATGCCCACCCCTGGTTTAGCAAAGGGGGAAAAAGTCATGATATGTCACATGACAACAATGTGATGCCATGAGTTTGACACCCCTGGTCTAAGTACACTAAATTTTGTCTGTGTGAATTCAGTATCCATATCTGTATCTTTCCTGCTTAAGGTCTTTTCAAAACTTTTGAGAAGATCAGAACCATTGCTGGCTTTACCCAACTAGGTTTGAGGGATTGTATGAATGTGCGAAGTTTGTTCAGTGTGGCTTGTTTATAATTCTGACTAATTTCCAGTCCTCTTGGGCAGAAAATACATTAACTTGAGATTCTCTTGACTTTAAACCTTGGGGATAAAATTCTGTCTCAATGGGATGTATGTTCTGTCCCAGCAAGTTCTGCTTAGCGATTTTTCTTTTTAGATTTTTATGCTACTTTTTTTTTCATATACAACACAAAGTGCAAACATACCAATGATCCTTCTTCCTTCTATTTTCTCAAAAGAACCCTGTGCGGTGAGTTAGAGAGAGAGGGACGGACGGAGAGAGGGAGGGAGAGAGAGAGAGAGAGAGAGAGAGAGAGAGAGAGAGAGAAAGAGAGAGGGGGGAGGGGGGGAGAGACAAAATCACTCAGCCAGTTTTCATGCCTAACATAGGACCGTCTACTGGTTTGTAGGCCAACACTTTAACCACAACACCAAACTGGTTCTCACTTCTGAAATTTTCCACGAGGACCCTCAGCAGAAGCAACAGCAACCATGAAGCATGGCTCTCTATGATTGAGGAAAGTAACAGACCCACAATTGAGGGAGGGGATTTGTACCAGAACTGCAAGCTCTTGTAGGTCTACTCTAACTTCTAGACAGTTTTTATCCAGTGCTTTATTTTACGCAAGTGA